GGCGGAGATGCGGATGTTACGATGGATGTGTGGGAAGACAAGGTTGGATAGGATTTCGAACGAAGTTATTCGACGTCGGGTAGGCATGGCGCCGGTGGAAGATAAATTGCGGGAAGCGAGGTTGAGATGGTTTGGTCATGTGAGACGGCGGGATGCTGACGCCCCTGTACGGAGATGCGAGCGGATTACGGTTTTCGGGGGAAGTAGGGGAAGGGGTAGACCTAAGAAGAATTGGAAGGAAGTGATTAGACAGGATTTAGGACTTCTCACCCTGACTGAGGATATGGCTTTAGATAGGAACCTTTGGAGAACTAGGATTAGAGTAGCTGGTTAGGAACTCGGTGCTATAGAGGTTTTTTGTAGTGTGTTGTGTTTGATTGGAATCTTCTATTAATGCTTGTAGAACTTTCTTTTCATTGTACTTGGTGTTTTATCCATGCTATACTGTATACCCTATCATTTTTTGTGCAGGTTGAGCCGGGGGTCTCTTGGAAACAGCCTCCCTGCTTCCAAGTAGGGGCAAGGTCTGCGTACACACACCCTCCCCAGACCCTACTGTAGTGGGATCCAACTGGGTTGTTGTTGTTGTTGTATTATTATTATTTAGATTTTATTAGGTAAGCGAAATTATAAGTTGTTTCGAGGTTTCTTTACGGTTCGTCGATTCCCTCCTTTGCCTCAATTCTTCTCCATCGGTTCGTCGATTCCCTCCTTTGCATCAATTCTTCTTCTTCTTCCTCGTCCCATATTCTCAAGAGCTCGAAGACGCTCTGAGTCCCCTATCCGATACATAGTCCGTATCATGTTCCCCCCTCCCAATTGCTGCAATTCACCTTCAATTTATAGCACGAAGAGAATTTTCCCGTTGAGAATTTGAGTGAGGTTGGAGTCGTTGGAGAGTTATTTGACACGGAATTGATGGAGAGACGTTGGAGGATTTGGTCTTCCACTTTGGAGTTGTCTTCGTCGCTTGTTGTTTAGTTGACGAAGAAGAAGCATCGTTTCTTTCTTTTTTTTATTTCATTGATTGACCATAAATGGGTGAGCTAAGCACTTTTTCATAATGGGTTTGGGCTCCGACTCAAACTCAATCTTTTCTTTCCAAACATGAATTTCAATTTGACTTTTTGCTACGCTTTTCTCCACAAAATAAAATATCTGATAATTTGGGTAAGGAAAAACAACATAAAAATAATACAATGAAAAAAATGATTAAAAACTTCTATTTTTGAAAGAAAAATTAAAAGATAGTAAAAATGAGATTTAAAATAAAATTAATCTAAACAACTAAGAATTAAAATCTAAAAATATTAAAAATGCCTAAAAATAAATAAAAAGTACTAACCCAAAACTGACTTATCAGCGAATATTAATTTTTTTGAAAATGAGTGGCATTGAAACTCGTGGTCTTATTGTAAGCAAGGCTCTGATACCATGTTAAAAAAGTAACTCAACCAAAAGCTTTTTCAAAAAATCAACTCAACCAAAAGCTCAAGTTTGTGGTTGTAGGCCTAGAAAAAGTATTTATATTCTAACATGAACCCTCACGTATAGGTGTGACCACTTTGAGCCTTCTACGTGAAATTTTAACTTTTTTAATCTAGATAGTGTTAAGTTTCGAACCCATGATCTCATAGTCAACAAAACTCTGATGCCATGTCAAAGAATTGTTGGAATGTGAGCTCAAAAGGCCAATCTATATTTATGTATCTGAATTTTTATCAATAATAAAAGACCTTAATTATTTATACATTTAGTGTATCTAGACATCTCTTTAGTCCATTAACATAGCGCTCTGGTATCATATACTCCCTCTGTCCCACTCTTTTTGTTCACTTTCATTTTTGCACACCATCCAATGCACTTCTTTAATCCATTTTATCTTGTAATTTGTATATTAAAAATATATAAAAATTATATATTAATAATCTATATGTTAAGACAAATCAAATAAGATCACACATGACTATTTTTAGACTTACACATTGAGAGAATTTGATGAGTCAAAGTGCTTAGATGAACAGTTCCAAAAGTCAAAACTGGACAAAAAGAGTGGGACGGAGGTAGTATTAAAACTACGATGTTTAGATTATGAGACGATTACATTTATAGAGGTCGTGTTTAAAATGTCCTTAGTAAAAAAATATAATAATACAAACATCATACTCCCTCCGTCCCATTTTAAATCGCCCGTTTTGACTATTGGGCATATTTAAGGAAACGAAAAAATAGAATTGATTTTTCGAAATTGCCATTATTTTTTAGAAGGGTTGACGATGAATAAGAAGATAAGGTGGTGATGAGTGACTAATTTTAGGAGTAGTTTACGTATTTTACTCTTAAAAGTTTACGAAAACAAGTAACAGGCAACTTATTTTGGGACGGAGAAAAAAGTCAAACATGCAATTTAAAATGGGACAGAGGGAGTAATATACTAAGACTAATAATACATATAAGACAAGATAAATGTGTATCATAAGCTAGGGATATTGTGATATCTCAACCTATATGTAGATACATATCATGGATATGATACTAAACTCACCCACCATGAGAATAATACATGACATGTTATTTTAATGTGTTAATAGTATTCGACCATTGGTATAATTATCCTTTGACTTGAAGTAATTACAATGAGAAATTTACCTAAATAGGAATAAAACATAATGACTTTCCCAATGTAGGATCATATGTTTTTATTTCCCAATGTAGGACCTTTGGTTATTATGAAGTAGTCATTATTCAAGTAAATGTCCATCATTACTGGACATTATTCCTCCCACTAGGTCATTATTAAGTCCTATTTAGGGAATAAAAAAGTTTAAGTCCTGCATTAGGAAAGTCATTATGTTTTAGTCCTATTTAGTGCAAATTTCACAATTTACAATCTTTAATATGTTGTTCTATATGCTTTGGTTCATAAATAATGTCATCTAAAATACTGCTCCATGTATAGTTATATTTTAGGTATGTAGTTAAACATATGTAAAGGTATGAATCATGTAGAAAAAAATATCTCTTCTATTTTTAGAAGTATAATATTTTCAGGCCCAATGATGTAACCTGGAAACTATACGTACGATCATACCTAGGTAAATTGATATATGTGATATTATACTTGGAGTTATTGCTGCAATGAACTTTTTTTTGAACAAAGCACATCATATATATTAAACACCAAGAAGGTCAATACTCAATATACAAGTCCCCATACCCCCTACTGCTTTACTATACACAAAAAACACAAGAAATCATAAAGCTTAGAAACATCACACTTTAAGAAGCAAGTCTATTTCTTATAGCCATTGTAACGCCCGAAAAATAAGTCTATCAGAATTAATTAATTACGGAGAAGGACCCAAAAATAAGTGATTTATAAAGTTTGTCAATAAATAACGAAAATTATATTGTTGTGTAGAGTTTGACTGTCTGACCGCAACAGTTCAATCAGATTTTAATTCAGAGAAAGTTGGACTAAAAAGTGTATCCCGACTTGGACGAAATTAGTCCCAATTGCAATTAGGGATGATGTACAAAATCTCATAACGGCGCCACTCACCCCACTCAGCCGATGTGATAGGAAAAGGAAATAACCCAGGCTTGGCTTTTTCTCCTCCTCTTCACTATATAAGAAACACTCTCCTACCTCATTTCTCCACCATTTTCCTTCAAATTTGTTTTTGAGAGTTAGCCTTGAGTGTGGAGAACACAATGGTGCTGTCAATTTGGTTTGAAGTCGTCAGAGCAAGCTGTGGTGTTCGCCAGAAGTTTCTCCAGAAAATTTTCAAAACTTTCGTTAAAAATTGAGGTAAGCCCGTAGATATATCTAGTGACTAGAATGTTCGTATAGGTCATTTCTACGTTCATAAGCGGTCGTTTTGTTGAGTTTTGTCTTTGATAGCTTAAAGAACCAAGAATCATAAACCTTGAAATTGATGTTAAAACTACGAACTAATGATATCAAAATGATCTATGAACCTTGGAGAACATTTCTATATACTTTAATTGAAGTTCGATGACTAAAAGCGACATTTTCAAAAATTGACTCAAGGAAGAAGATGAGGAATAATCGATTATTTCACATGAATAATCGATTACATCTTCGTTCTACTGAAGCAATTGAACTCAGTAGCAGATAATCGATTATTTTATCAAGCATAATCAATTATCCATCCATTAATCGATTATCTCAGCTTGAATAATCGATTAACTTCTTATTCCGTTGAAGTATTTGAAGGCAGTAGCAATTAATCGACTTTCTTATCTTCAATTAATTGATTATTATGTGCTTGGACCAGAGAAACTTTTCAGAAAACTTATTTTTGAAATATTAAATCATATTCTTGTTATCAAACAAATGTGATCAATATGGAAATGATTTTTGGAAATAAATATGATGTTTTGACAAATCCAATGACCTTATATGATGCATGACGGTAAGTTCGAGTGTTAACGCTCAACGCTAGGCCGCTAATTGGTATTGAATATTATGATGATTATTATTATGGATGATTATGATGAATTGATGATTAAATATTGATGAACTTACTAATTAAAGTGATTATTGTGAATGATTAAAACATGACTAAAAATGAATATATTGATGATCATGAAAATAGTGTGTATTGTTAAGGATATGTAGAAGAACTCTAAGATATACTCATTTGGAAATTGATGATGACTATTAAGGATATGTAGAAGAACTCTAAGATATACCTACATGACCAATTCAGAAATTTGGGGTTAAAACGTACGTACGGGATCCAAATCGGATATCACCCACCCGACAGTTCACTGTTCGGTTGGTACGTAATCCACAAGACTCATAGGGTGGATTATCGACTCATGTGTTCTGCCTTAAACTATTTATAGCTTAAGAGCCCGATTAGAAACATTGCCTTCGACTAAGAATAGCTAAGAGCTTGTTATAAAAATGATTTGGCCTTAGATTCATAATTATTTAAGATCACTATTGAGATATTGAATATTGAATATTGTATATATCATGAAATGACTTGAATTAAAATATTGTGAATATCATGAATAACAAATACTTGAAATTGCATATTGTGTGCATTATATCAAATGGTTGATTATGAATTGAGATTCAATTTATTTGGATGTTCGACGCATTAGATATGCTTACTCAGCTTTACCGTTGAGCGTGTAGTATGCTTTATTTGCTACACGCAGGTAAACAAAAAGAATGAAGTGACGAGTCCTTGGAGACAGATAGGGCGAGACGGTCGTGATGGATGTGTGGATTTAAATAACTAATTATGATTGTTATGAGACATGTTTTAAATTTGCTTCCGCATTATTAAACACTCCGTATTTCTACAATTATGTATTGAATATTATTTATGATGGATATGAATAAAGATGTTTGAAATGTTTTAAATGTTTACGATTATCAAGTTAATACTTTAGTCCGAAAGGGGCTACAGGCCTGGACGGATTAGGGTATTACAACCATGGTTACAGTAGACTTCAGTTTCTGTAATAGGGCCTCTATGGCCACCTCCCTGCTGCTGTGAATCTTCATGGTTCTGGCCTTCCACAACA